CAAACATCTTCGATCACATTCAACATCACAGTAGATTAGGCCTCGAAAACAAATTCTTGGAAAACAAATCAGGCCGAATTTTTTAGCGTTCGACAGGTTTACCTTACAAATTGTTGCCAACAAATCTGGGGGTGTTTAAACCAACCTTTTATAATTTTTATACATCACATTTGAGGTGAAACAGTACTATTTATCATACAGACCTCGGACAGAATGCGGTATTTCACAATTTTTCAAGACAAATTGCACTCAGTCAATATTCAGGACTATCAATCATGGGCTTTAAGCGAAACCGTTCAAAAATTTTCAAAATCACCCATACGGCCAGCTGGTTCTCGTTTCTATAGAGCGAGCTGTCAGTGTGGTCTAGTGTTTGAATGAACTTTAATAGAGTTACGCTTCAACATAATAGCGAATTTATTTTTTATTTTTGTATTTAATAGTTTTAGTTATAACGATGTGTAATCTTATAAAGCGTTTGATACGCGCGACATTTTTGAGTACTCCTGGAAGCGATGTTCATGAACGATCAGGGACCGCGGAGAGGGAGGGGCTGGTAGGGCCGCGGCCCCACCACTTTTTTGCGCCCCCGCCCCCACTTTTTGCGCTAAACAGAAAATAATTAAAATAAAAAAAAGACTTCAAACAAGTTTTTTTTCCGTCTATATTCCGCTATATTCTCTGTATTTTCTTTAATTTCAAACGCCAGGCATTTTGTGGGGCTCCTGTGCTTTTCGCGGTAATTGTGCCCTGGGGCCGACTTGCCCCTTGATCAAACGCCATGCCTTGGCCACCCCTTCGCTTCGTTCGGCAGCGTGTTTTGTACTTCCAGGTCCGGCAGAGTTTTTCATCAGTTTTATCAGACGAAATGAAGAAAATTACTAGCTTTCTCAAGCCAAACGAAGGTGAGTAGTTGTTTTGAGTTGATAAAAGTTTTATATTTTGTCTTTCTCCTTTCGAATCAATGAAATATTCGATGGCAAGAAGAATCACCTTACTTCAACAGTGAACGGCCATAGTTAGAAATTTTTTAGATCACTTCAGCCTAAAGACATGGCTGAGATCGAACATGAAACAGCAGCGATTCAGCAACTTGACAGTACTTAATTGTCATAAGAAATTAACGGAAAGCTTGGACGTGATTCAGATCGCAAACACATTTGCTGGACGGAATGAAAATCGTATGAAGAATTTCGGTATCGTCACTAATGCCGACCTATAAAGAGCAACAAATACTGGATAAAGTATGCAAAGTCACGCGACAGAAACAAATCAAATACTATGATTTTATTCCCTTTTTCGATTTTCAATATGAAAAAATTATTTTCAATTGTCAGCCCTCCCACTTTTCACCTTGCTCCGCGGTCCCTGACGATGAAAACAAACGGCACGGACAAGCGATTAAAATTGCAAGAAAGACTACTAACAATCAAAAAAAGAAATATAATTCGGTAAAACATTGACAGAGACAACAATTTTCATTCACGAAGACAAGTATTAAAGTGTCTCTAAAAATCCCGAGTCTTTAAGCGTAAAGCTTAAGCCGGCTTCCCAGTGCGGTGTTTACTGTTTTCGAAGGTGAACTCCTGGAAGCAAGAAAATCGCTCAAAGTTTTCTTTCTGCAGCCAAATTTATAACTAAATATTCTTCGGATCGTTTTCTTTCTATTTGTGGTGAGCAAATATATCTGAAGGCTTTTTAAAGTTCTGTAAGCTTATATCAAACCTGATACTAGGTCAGATCATAGACTCAAATCCTACAAACGTGCATAAACTTGCCGCATAAACTGTCAGCGTGAACTGTGCCAGACTTCATGAAATTAGATATAACAAAAACAAACATTAAATACAATAACTACTCAGGCTTACCATTCGAGATTCAGTTTCTGAAAGCTATCAATTAAGGCCACAGTTGCTTGAGACTTTTAAACCCTCTTACGCATTAAGCAAGGTGAAAAACGAAAACGATGCCATCCGAAATCGAATTACCGAAATTTTGACAAGCGACGCATTTCTCAACCAAAAACCCAGTAAACAAACCAGCCATGAATAACAGAAGACTCTTGATAGCAGCTGTATTTCATTTTGCACATCCAGAGGAAAAAGACAGTTAAAAACATCACAAGTTGACACAAAACTCTGTCACCTTCAGCTGTCAAAGTAAACAACTTTCAAGATGCTGCATGAACTCACCTGTCAAATTTTGACCAATCAGAGTATAAAAAGTGGACGTAGAGCGTGACCAACGCGTGACCATGGTAAGATAAGGTCTTCCCCGTCTGTACTTTAAAAAAAACTGGCTGAATTTTCGCTTTCGAGGTCAGTTTGAAATCAAAATCCTAATAGTACGGGGCCATAGTGACATAAACACAACATATTTGATATGAATCCTTGGAAAAAATAAACTTGAGCCTTCAATCATTTGAAACTGGTAATTTGTCAGCGGATAACTTCAAAAAAATACTCGACCTCGATGGGTCGACACTTGAGCCCGCGGTACGGTCAGGTGATACTGGTCAGTGAATGCCCTGTTTTGATAGCTGCCAATTGATCGCAACATTGATGTGCAATTAGTTTTCTCTTGGGCTCCCAAACTAGCTAAAAGTGTGAGAGTAAACATTGGTTGTCCTGTGGTGCGGACGGACGGTCGCTCGCTCGGTGTACGGTCACGTGATTACCAAATTTTCTGGGATGGGTAGATTACCACATTTCATTTCCTATGGAGCTCCGCTATTACTTAATAAACCCTAGCAAAAATAACATTGAAACCCTCTTAGATGAAAATAAAAATTAATCAGAATAAAAATGTGAAAAATACAAGAATGTGGGTGTGGTAGACACCGTCACCTGGATCTGTGATAGGGACAGGTTAAAGTCACTGACCAGAGATATTCACTACATTTTCGAAGAGAATCTTAAATATCAAAGTGCTTGAAAGTCTTTGGACTAGAAAAACTACTGAATGACCTAAGTGAACAAAGGAAATTCCCGTTTCTGCAAAGAGGAGTTTTGATATTCAAAGAATTTTTTGTGTTGTTCGGCCATGTGAAATTAAGGGCGGATATTCTTGAACATTTATGTCAGTAAAGTCGTAAAAGCATTTGTAGAAAACAACTAATTCCTTAAGTTCTCTGTCTAAAATAAGAGGCAGGCAAGTTCATCGTAACAAGTCTATCGTTATACGACACTTTGCACGCTGCGAATTGCTTTTTTCCACAATGTAACCGGGCATTGCAGCAAATCTATGATCAGTGGGGGATGTCAGTAAGTGAAATATAGCGACGCCGCTCTTTTATACTTTGCGCAGGTGTCATGATCTTTTTATACCCTCAACTTCCTGCCCAGAAGGATCCCACACATTTACACCCAATGCCAAATACTGTCATGAAAGATATAATTATTGTCCATCGTATAGTTAATGTGTATAAACGGTTTCGGGTATCGTTTGTCTCAGGATTGCCACTTAAGGCTGGTTTTCACTAGCGACGGAGTCGGAGTCGGAGTCGGAGTCGTAAGCGGAGTCGTAAGAGCGCTTATGACCTAGTGAAAATCAAAAATCGGAGTCGTAAGCGGAGTCATAAGGGCGACGGAATCGGAGTCAGAAGAATCAGAACGTTTCCATTTTCTTCCGACTCCGCTTACGACTCCGTCGCTTGCGTTCCGCTTATGATCTAGTGAAAACCAGATTGTCGGAGTCGGAAGCAGAAGCGGTAGAATAAACCGATCACAATGCAGGGTCCCAGACCCTCCCGCCTGTCGCGAGAAAACATGGCGTCCAACTCCATGAACGAGAAAGTCGCGGAGGCTGTTAGACGTTTTCTGATTTTGTACAACAAAACTGTGAAAGATTTCAGAGACAGAAATAAGAAGAAGAACGCTTGGACAGAAGTTGCTAGGCAAGCTGGTTTATCAACAGGTATTTAGTCAGAGTTAATTCAATGTAGTTCAATCGTCGCAAGCATTTTTCTCGACGTGTTTTACCACATGCGCCATATATCCTGTTGTTTTTATTGTTTGTTTTTTATCTTGAGGATTACGGTAAAAGAGAAAATGAGACGGAAAAAAGACAGCTTTTAATCAGTTGAAACACTGATGGTATATCCGGGAATGTATCGTTAACTGGTCTTTTAATGTTTGGGTTATATCTTCTCATACTTTTTGGAATTGTATGATCCCTCTTGAGAAGAGTTGGAATCTAAGAAATTTAAGCTGAAGTAAATTTAAAATATATAAAATCCGTGCATTCCAAGACAGTGAGAAAAACCATTAGTTGTTATTTATTGAATGTTTAGGCAAAACTCGTGAGTCAATGCTCGCCAAATTGAGTATTTTGTTTAGTTTTTTATAAGCTCAATATTTCCATAACATGAAGTTAATTATCCAGGTAATTCAGCAAAAATAACAAGATTGGGTAGCGCAGGTGCAAGGTTTTAAAAATGAAAATTATTTTTGCAGCACAAAACCTTTAAAGGAAAGTTGTGATCAAGAACTACATTAAATTAAAAGATCCTCATTCTTCAAAATAGAATACTTAGCCTTTTGGAGTATATTATTTTAATAATGATGCATAGATTCAAGGTTATGCAGCAGTCAATTCCACCTGCGCCCACTGCAAATTCATTAACTCATGCAACAGTTAATTCCAGCTGTACCCATGTCCCCCTTCCCTTTTTTTGAGTTAACCCCCAATAAGCATTTTATGTCTGGAATGACAAATTCCCAGGGGCTGGAAAAATGACAAACACTCTGTGGTGGAGATGAAAGGAGAGCACTTGGAAATACCTTGCAGTTACCCTGCAGGGGAAAAAGGAGTGTAGCTGGAATTGACTGATGTTTTACACAACAATTACCTTCCCTTTCGTTTTTTTAGGGGAGGAGGCGCAAAATTATTTTACTAATCTGAGAACTAGATACACTCGTGACAGGAAGAAATTGCAGAAGGCCAAAGTTAGTGGCAGTGGGTCTGACGATGTAGCAAAAGTGAAAGATGAGGTTGAGGATATGTTTTTGTTCCTGTCTTGGCTTGATCCATTTTATAAACCCAGGAAAACAAGTTCAAATGTGACTATTGTTGACTCAGGAAATAAGGCATCAGAAGATGATGAAATCCAAAATGTTGATGACAAATCTGACAGCACTGAGACAACAGCAAGTGATGCAGACGGTTTCTCAGCATCTAACAACTTCCGATCAATCAAAAAAGTGAAGTTACCATCAAAAAAGAAAACTATGGCAAAAGTTCATGATGATGTTACAATGGCAGAAGTGCACGTTCTGCAGTCTCTTGGGGATGCTCTTGGACACAAGCAAATGCAAGTGCCAAATGCAAGTACTAAAGATGAAGATGAACTGTTCGGGGAATTGATTGCCCCCCAAATGAGGCAATTACTACCAGAAAGGAAAGTGATGGTCAAAATGCAAGTTTCGAATATTTTGTACCAGGAAATGCTAGCCAAATTCCAGTCACCATCTACACCAGCACCAGCACCTTTCACTCAAGGCCAAATTCAGGTTGAGATGTATCAACCACAACAGCATCAACAGTATCAACCTCGACATCATCACAATTTCCAGGATAAGAATCAGACGCAAAAGAGGCCATTTCATGTTCCGAGCTATGAATCTTCAGAGGAACATACAGTCCTTAAACCTGGGCAACTTTTCTACCACAATAAGTAACAGATGGGATATCTTGATAATCTAACAGAAGATTAGTGTTACAGTAAGAGTACTTAAATAACTTTAAGCATGGGTTTGTTCTTTTTGTTTGATTTGCCATTGTTTTCTCAGAGTTGTTAAATTATGTATTTCTTATATCTTAGTTTCACAGTGTTGGTTGCTGTTAAAAACTATAGGCCTCTTGTGGTATATCGCAATACTCCTCAAATAACAGGTTTGGGTAAGTACATGAGGTAACCCTGGGTGTTTAATTGCAGCTTTTTTGCTTGGCAAGAAATCCCTGTGCTATTTTGTTAGCTTCTCAAAAATTATGTGTTACAGGTCAAAATGGTATTTCAGGTAAATCTTGATGTAACCTGTGATTTAACCAGGGTTGATTCCTTTGTTTCCTAGTTGGAGACAGAATAAATTGAAGATCAAATTTGACATGTAACATATACAAGTGTGACAACAGGTAGTGATGCAAGCCTCGTTAAAGTGTAGTTGCCTTGGAGTTCAGAATCCTACTCCCTGCTTCATTTAAAACTTAACTCTCAAGATCAGTTTATCTCAGGAAAAAGCTGTGTATTAGTTCAACCGTTCTGTATGTACTCAGAACTTATTGGTGNACAGGTTTGGGTAAGTACATGAGGTAACCCTGGGTGTTTAATTGCAGCTTTTTTGCTTGGCAAGAAATCCCTGTGCTATTTTGTTAGCTTCTCAAAAATTATGTGTTACAGGTCAAAATGGTATTTCAGGTAAATCTTGATGTAACCTGTGATTTAACCAGGGTTGATTCCTTTGTTTCCTAGTTGGAGACAGAATAAATTGAAGATCAAATTTGACATGTAACATATACAAGTGTGACAACAGGTAGTGATGCAAGCCTCGTTAAAGTGTAGTTGCCTTGGAGTTCAGAATCCTACTCCCTGCTTCATTTAAAACTTAACTCTCAAGATCAGTTTATCTCAGGAAAAAGCTGTGTATTAGTTCAACCGTTCTGTATGTACTCAGAACTTATTGGTGCTGTTCTAACCAAGACTTTAATAATAATTATTCCAGTCTCCTATTTTGTATTAACTATGCCCATTGATGTTGTGCCCACACATTAACATTTAAAAGTATTATGGTTTTTCATGAATTGAACAATAAAAAGGAAGATAGTATGTAACTGAACACACTTTTAACTGGGATAGGCAATGATCCATACAATGCTGTTGGGTTAACTCTGTTGTACAGCCAAGCAAAATGATAACAAGTGACTATACAACAGTGATTTAAAATCTAAACATTGTTGTTACAGCCGTAGCATAATGAACATGTTCAACAGGAATAAGACTTAATAGCATTGCTTCTACATGTCAAGAGTATTTAAAAACGTTTGTTCATATTGTAAATGGAATAATTATGAAACTTAAGAAAACATTTTGAAAACTTTGAATAAAGTTTGAAGTTGACCTAATGAGCATGGAAGACTGAAACACTTAAGTGAACAATAGATAAGCAACATTATTCTTATTATTTACCAACTTGAATGCAAAAAAAAAAGGGCATCTGCCTTTACCCTTTGGATGTCTTCTAACATGCCTTCAAGTTGTATTGTGTATCAACAGTATCAAGTTCTGGTATTATGGTGATACCAACATTAGAGTGATTTTCCTTAACCCATGAAATAAGTAGTAGAATACTATGCACTATTATGCACTTATTCTATTGTCTTCTTTTGTTTATTTGTAACTCTTTTGCACTAGTTGTTATTAACTGTTTCACGGGTCAAGTAAAATTGCTCTAAAAAGATTTATGTTAAAGTTGATGAGAAATTCCATCAGTCCTTTTTTGGGATGATGGTCAATATACAAAGTCAATATATGCACTATTGTGTCATTTCACTGGATGAATTTTATTGTGTCGTCATTGTGTTCTTTGTGACGTAAATCTAGACTTCCTATTTACTTGGTATGTAGTGCACCAGCTTTTTTGTGTGTGTACGTTGTGTAAGTCTTACAGAGATTTCAGTTTACCAGTTATACAAGGCCATTCAGTTAAGTTAAAATTGACTTGAAAACTGTTCTTACAATAAATAATACTACCACTGAAAGATCTGAACTCCTACACTTTGATAAACATGTTCTAAATTGAACTAAATGCAAAAATTAGAGCTGAAAATAAGTTTTATTTAATTTTTTGCCTCTGCATTTATTTATAGACTGATTTGATTTTGATTATCTTCTCCCCTAAGTTATAGGTTGTGATTGGGGGGGAGTGGGGAGGAGATTACAAGGAAAAGGGTTTGTCACACACATTGAAGGCTAATAGAAGATTTACATGGGGATATAGATATGATATAATGTCTTCAGTAAACCTAGGGTTCACGGTTGGGACCTCGTTTTCGAATGTAATCCCATTGCCAGGGAACAGCACCTTGGTCTGAATTAACATAGGCTTTCAAAGCCTCCCTGACATCCAAAGCATAATTGCGATATCTGGTTCCTCTCGCAGCAGGTAGGTTGCGAAGAGCACTGGAATCTTCGTCAGCTGAAGTGATTCTGCGCCACTCTCCTGGCAGAATATTTCCTGAATCATCGAAGCTGTCAACGAAGCCAGCTGGACAGTAAGAAGCAGTGTCTGTCTGTCTCAGGTAGTTGTGTAAACAAATGGCTGCTTGTACAATTGTCTGGACAGTTTCAACTTTTGCTTGAATTGCTCTGCAAAAGATTCTCCATCTTGCAACAAGAATTCCAAAACAGTTCTCAATAACCCTTCTGGCTCTAGACAAACGATAATTAAATATGCTCTCTTCCTCTTTAATATTTTTCCCTGGATAGGGACGCAGTAACCAGGGCTTAAGTGCAAAGATTTCATCACCTACCAGGTAAAAGAGGAGTTGAGGTAAGCGACATCCTGGAAGATGTTCTGGTTGGGGTAGTGACATGGATCCATCTTCAAAGGCCTTTCCCATTTCAGAGTTATTGAGCACACTACTGTCATTTGTACTACCGTATTGGCCAATGTCGACCAGGGTGAAATTGTAACTTGCATCACATACAGCCATTAACACAATGCTGAACCATCCCTTGTAATTAAAATACAAAGACCCGCTGTTTTTGGGACATTGCATTGCTATGTGTTTCCCATCAATTGCTCCAATACAGTGTGGCAGATGCCAAACGGATTCAAAGTCCCTTGAAATGTTCTTCCAGTCGGTGGCGGATTTTGGAGGGCTTACATATTTATCCTTTAATGCTTTCCAAATGGCGTTGAGTGTCTCTTGGATAATGTGACTCACCGTCGTTTTGCCAATTCTATACGAGAAGCTGATACTCTGCTGGTCATCACCGCTTGCTAAGTATCGAAGGGTTAAAGTCAGTCTTTCCGCAGCGCTGATGGCTTGTCTCATCTTTGTGTTGACTTTAGTTATCAAGGGTCCCACTAAGCTGAGCAAGTGTTCAAACCGTTCAGGCGTCATACGTATGTACCTAAAACGTAAGGAATTTACTGTAACTATATTCTCAAAATACATGCAACCATAGCAATTTTAAACAACGTTATATTGATGTACCTACGTTTAAGAAATTAAGCTTACATTGAACATTGAACAACACCTACCGAAAATAAAATTCACGATCTCCCAGTCGCAGTTCCCTCACCAAGTTCGCATACTCTCCTTGTGCTGCTCGACGTTGATATATATCTCGAACCCAAAAACGCTTTCTCCTTCTTTTTAAATTTGTCCGGCGTCGTCGCCGACGCAAAATAATGACCAGAAGAGCCCACAGCAGTAGCTGCTCTTCTACGTCGGCCATGTTTTCTTTTCTGTATGGCGCGATTGGCGCCAAAATTTGTGCCACTTGGCGGGACTATGGCCGAGCATTGTGATTGGTTTATTCTACCGCTTCTGCTTCCGACTCCGACAATCTGGTTTTCACTAGATCATAAGCGGAACGTAAGCGACGGAGTCGTAAGCGGAGTCGGAACGCTGTTTTCACTAGATCATAAGCTCTACGCTTCTGATTACGACTCCGACTCCGACTCCGTCGCTAGTGAAAACCAGCCTTTACTGATCGCGACGTTTCGACCGCGCACTGCAGGCAGAATCATGCAGATCTCAGAGGATGTTATTCACCTCGGCCTGATAACATCCTCCGAGATGTGCATAATTCTTCATATTCTACGATAGCCGAATTAAAAAATTGTTGATGTTCAGACATTCAAAAGTTCTTGACACGCTTACTTCTTCGTAGGCTTTCTTCAAAACCTTGGCCTATATTTCGACACGTTTCCAGAATAGAAACAGATGTTTTTTCTTGCATATACTCCTCAAAAAGTAGATAACATCCATCAAGAAATATGTTTTGCGTATTTTTGCATTTCTTTCACTCAGATTAAGTCCGAAGTTCAGCTATTTCGTCTTTTAATAGCCATGAACGCCATTTCTTTAGTTCACTTTTGCCAAAGCAGCCTGGTTTCCAATTAAATATACTATGGAATCGATTGTATATTGTTCGCATCTTCCAAATATGGTAAGCGCTGGTTTGTTATGAGGAATTAGCCTGGGGGTTGGAGCCAATCAGAAACGGCAAAATATTTTGAATGAATAATAATGCCAAATACATCGTGGCCATGCAGACTGGGATAAGTATAAATACTCCGTGCTTCGCAACGACGTTTAAACAAGTCATCGTAGGAAGAAGATTTATTGAGAAATGTTAATCAAGGTGAAATTTGGTTCAACCAGGTGCTGATACAGCTGTAACTAAGTACTGTCGGTATAGTGCTGATTTAGACCTCTCAAGGTTTTGTCTCTCTTTCGCTACCCAACGATAGGCTAGTGTCCTGTCCAGGCGGGTGGGGAGCAGATTTCAAACCGAGGGAGAATGGCTCATTCTCTCTTGTCAAAACTGTGCCCTTGAATAAACCTGCACTTACATGTTGTACTCAAGTTTAATGTTTGCACAGGTGTGTCGCGGCATTCTGGGCGATGAGTACCTTTTGTACTGCAACCTCAGCGCTTATCACAAAAT